CATACCAGTTATAGTTCATACAACGAGCAGTGACTCACTGTGTAATAAAAACATACCCTAAATATAATTTAAAAGGTGCAACAATTTTAAATATTTTTAAATACTTGCAAAAATAACCATGCTTGTGTCATTGTAAATAATTCCGCCCCTCCCTCACTTCCGGTTCTGGCGCTGGGGTTCTGGCACTGGGGTTCTGAAACTGGTGCTGCGGGTCTGCAGCTGGATATATCTCGGCCAGGCAGCAGAATACATGGTTTTTAGTCGTTTCCACAGATCCGTGTGAACGGGGACCGTTTTGACAATGTTGTCGTCTGTATGCAAAAAATGCAATACATTTTTAGTACATCGTTGTCGTGTAAACGTACCCTTAAAAATCCAAATGTCCATGTGTAACGGAGTTTAAATAATGTTGTTAAATTCTACACCTGTTCTGTTGTCTACATCTGAGTCCCTGAAGACGTTCAGAGTGCTGCAAGTCCTGTAAATCATGTGCGGACCAGTGATGAAAGGAGAAACGTGCTGGATAAAAATTGAACTGCAGGATCTGGATGATTGTGAAGTGTCAGAGGATTAGAAGGATAGACTTCTGAATCTCATTGAGAAGTAGGAGTCAACCTTTTCACGTGGAAAAATGGATTGTGGAGAAGCCACCGATTTTGTCCACAAAATCCACTTGGTGGACGAGAAGCCATTTCGACTCCCTTATCGACGTGTGGCCCCCAGCCACTATGATAAGCTGTGCACTGCTTTGAATGAGATGGAAGTTAAAGGCATTATAAGGAAGTCTCAGAGTGAATATGCATCTCCGCTAGTTTTAGTGTGGAAAAAGAATGGTGACCTTTGTATTTGTACAGATTTTAGACGGCTGAATGCGAAGACAGTGAGGGATGCTCACCCACTCCCACACCAAGCGGATGCACTCGCATCTTTGGGAGGCAACGTTTTCTTTTTTGACCATGTACTTGACTTCTGGCTTTTATAATGTTTCCTTGTTTTAAGAGCATAAGAAGTACACCACTTTTTCCTCTCCTTTCGGCCTCCATGAGTGCAATCGTCTACCTCAGGGTTTGACCAACAGTCCAGCAACCTTTATGAGGATGATGATGTCCATTTTCGGGGATGAAAAAATAAAAATTGTCAACACAAGCCTAATGCAACAAAAATAAAAAGGAAAAGTACTACACTGCCCACCTCTGTATCACTTCTTTGTGCAGACTCCCTTTCTGTAGGCCTTTCCTCCTGGAACTCATATTGCAGTCAGAAATAATATGTACACAAGTATAAATCAGGTAAAGTTAATTATGCACTTACATGTACTCCCTCCAAAGGACAGTCATCTGAGAGGGTTTCTTGTGCATTGGAAACAAATGGGTATTACAAAGTGTTGCTCGATCTTCCCTTTTGATGTACAGTTAGAAAAAGTCCACTTAATGCACAGGTTTCAGCCACCACTTTCTTGGGAACAGGTAAAATTGTTGGTGTATTATGTAAAACTGCACAAAAGAGGAAAACACAATGTCATTACACTGACCTACACTAGGAAAAAATGTGAGCAATAACACATGGCAACATATTTTTACATTAACTACAGAAGTTCAGCAGTTTTCACCTTCACAAGTCAAAGCAATTCATCAATATACAGTTGAAATGACTACCATTGGATTATAGACCTACTTAATTTAATGCAGCAGCAAATTATTTTACAGTTACACGATCATATCATCTTGGATATGTCAAATGATCTCGGATGTTAAGCGACATACGAAGAACGGACCCCTGGGGAATTTAGAGGCCACGACAACATGCAATTTTGTTTCAAACAATGTACACAAATGCAAAAATCACATCCATCATCAATAAAATCCCCCCACACTCATCACTGACCTGCTCAGTTTTACTCTGCACAAAATTCACAGAATTCTTCATCATGTTCTTCAAATCATTACTGAACAATGTATGCAGAGTGCATTATCCTGCTGAAAGAGGCCACTTCCACCAGGGAACACCATTGTCATGAAGGGGTGTAGGCTACCTGGTCTGTGATGATGTTTAGGTAGGTGGCACATGTCAAGTTTAAGTCCACATGAGTGGCCTGACTCAGGGTTTCCCAGCGCAGAACATTGCCCAGAGCATCACATTCCCTCCACCGACTTGTCATCATCCCATGGTGTACCCTGGTGCAATCACTTTCCCAGGTAAATGGCACACATGTACACGACCGTCCATGCGATGTAAAAGAAAACTGGACTCATCAGACCAGGCGACCTTCTTCCACTGCTCCAAGGTCCGGTTTCGATGCTCACGTGCTCATTGTAGGCACTTTCGATGGTGGACAGGGGTCATCATAGGCACTCTGATTGCTCTACAGCTAAATTTTTGTGCGACTTGTGCTACAGTAGACCTTCTGTTGGCTCGGACCAGAGGGGATAGCCATCATAGCCCTTGTGCATCGATGAGCCTTGGGCACCCAACACCCTGTAGCCGGTTTGTTCCTCCTCCGACCACTGTTGGTAAATTCTCAGCCATAAGCCTTGCCATTTTAGAGATACTCTGACCCAGTCGCCTTGCCATAACAATTTGGTCCTAGTCAAAGTCGCCCAGATCTTTATTTCTGCCCATTTCTCCTGCATCAAACATGTTGATTATGAGAACTGATTGTTTTCTTACCATACCTTAATATGTAGCCTTGTCAGGAGGTCAACGATATTTGCTCGATATTTAAATGTTTTGGCTCATTGGCATATATACTGCATATATATACATGTATATGTTTTAATGTCATTGCATAAACAAAATATGCAACCAATCAACATTATTTAAAAAAAAAGCATAAGCACATTTTTCAACTAAAACATTTCCACTAAATTGTGTGTAAATTGGGTATGGGTTATGATATTCCCAATATTGTTATCAGGATTAAACATGATTATGATGTACTGTAAATTAAATATAAACATCTGTTGTCATCCTATTGAAAAAAAAAGACACCCAATCAGTGCATGTTCCAGTTTATTTTTATAGTATTTACAGAAGAATTTTTGACACAATATGCATTCATGTTCTTTTTCCCCTCTTTTCTTACAGAACCTTGTTGCTATGACAAAATATCTCTACCCCATTATTGTCCTCTTAGCTCTTTAATACGTTTGGCGAGTTGTCACGTTATCCCTGTGGAGGTTAGTCCTGTATGGTCAAGGAGCCATATTCACAAAGTTTTATCCCCTGAGTTATTTAAGAATATCACAAAAAAGTCACACACCAAACTACAGGGCAAAAGAGAGACCATTTACTTTGAGCATCCAGAAAAGCAAAGGCTAATTTGCCTTTGCATGAAAAAACACTGTTTTGAGGAGCAAGGAAACAGCAACAGCTCTTTAAATAACTCCTGAGCGAATCTTTGTGAATAGTGGCCGAAGTTTTACTTTGCATCTACACTGCATGTTCATGGACAAGGTTGCAAGACAAGGAAACTTGTGTGTGATTATGCAGAAATGGATTGTCTTTACACTTTAGCTGTGACTTTCCATGTCTGCACACTACCCATTAAAAAATGTTTTTCCACATGTTCCAGTTTTGCACCGTATTTCAATGTAATATGCTGAAGTGGTTATAATGTGAAAAGAAATGAAAAACAAGCAGGCTGTGTCTTTGGTTGTATTGATGGTATTTCAGTTTATCCACACCTGTTTGTTAGTCTTTCATGGAATAGTTATTGGTGACATCATAGACGATTCATATTTACAACATCTGGGACGGTATTTTCCAGAATATTACCACATAAAATTAGACGACCAATTGGATGGAACCACCTCCACCCAGTTATTTGACAGACAGCGTATAGCTTCTCATTTTGCTCTTCGCTATATTTGGCTTTGTAATTTCGCATGTGTGCACCAGCGATGACTTCTTTGTGCCACTTTCCCATTTTAGTTCCTCTGTATTTGGGTTAGTAGCATATCCAGTGCCCTCGATTTCACAAAGTCTGCAGAATCAGGGAAAGTAGCAATAAAGAAGACTTTTAAACACAAAGTATAGGGTACACCTGGAGGAATAGGGGAAAGTAAGATACCGGTAGTTAGCAAATTCAACTGGGTGGCTTTATCTTTTGGATTACAATACAAAACCTTAATCAGCAGTTCCAATGGTTTAATTTTAATCTTTAGCAATCCATTTGCTCTTATCAGAGCTTGCAAAATGCATATCTATATTATATAGCTGAATTTACAGGTTAATACATATAATTGGCTTTAAATACAGGTAAACAGTTACAATACATAAAAAAACTGATAAAACTGATCACGCTCTGTGATGTGATCAGAAGAATATATTATTTTGTCAAAGCAATTTTTCTGAAATAATTTACATCAAAAAGATCAAAAACCATCCAACAGAAATCACAGTATTTCTGTCTTGAGAAACAACAGTAACTAGTGTTGTGTCAATGGTTGGCTAAAACTGTGTGTACAGAGCTGCAATCATTATGTATATTGTGAGAGGAAAGTTTTTAAGAATATCTTATAGAGAAGAAAAAAATCTTCCCTTTTTGTACAGCCGGACACCCTGGAAGACAAACAAAATAGATGCGATTGTGAATTTACAGATAATTACAAATAATCTAGTTTTGTTAAAGGGAAGTCCTGCCAAACTAAGATATATATATATAAGGGTGAAACCCTGGAGTATTAAAAAATAAATTATATCTATAAGATTTTACTTTTTTGCCTTAGTGTTAGTATTGGTAAAGGTAATCTGGATATTAAGTGCTTATAAAGTGCTGAAATTCAAATGATGCAACCATTGGCCATGTGTCCAATATTCCCTCATACTCATCCTGTATAGCTCCATCATATCTTCTCAGTTCACCTAAATATGGCACACAAAGTACATTCTGTGACCACATCGAAGTGTAAATAATGCAAATAATAATGGGAACAGTAGCTAAAAGCTGAAATCAGAGCCTTAATAATGCAATATGTTTTTTTGGAGAGCGAGTGTGCTGACAGTGTTCAAAATTGGAAGTTACCAATTACAAGAAATGTGTGTTAAAACGAAGTGAGATATATAGAGATATGAGCCATTCACTACATATCGGAGCTGTGTAGGTTATCATTGATCTCCGTTTCACTTAACAAATTGCGAGACTGGCCACAGGTGCATCAACTACATTCTGTCTGAAGGCACCCAGCTAAAAATACCAGGAGCGAAGAATGAATGTAACTGCGGAACAATGGAAGGTCATGGCGGGGCTGTGGGTGTCAGATCTTGCTGTTCTCCAGGTGCGAGTCAATGTGCTTGATCAAGGCATCATCAGGGTAACCAACAGGGAAGATTAGCTGGCACAACGGGCAGCTCCTGACGTCACCCTCCTCCTCGGTCTCCATCCACAGCTGTAAAGGGCACAGTGATATGTTTGACAGCCATAATGTTTAAAATACACCATTAAAACAGATACAATAAAGGTGAAATGTGTATTTTATTCAATATTACATTGAATAAACATCATCTTTCCCAGCTTGACTGGCACAAACTAAATATTGATTTCCTTGAAATGGGTCAACACTGTTTCTCTGTGCCACTTTCAAGACATTTCAGTGTTTATTAGAGCAGCCAGACAGAGCAACATCATAAGTTCTAATTTAAATTTAATTGGCCACACCCCACAGGGAGTTGAATCGGAATGACAGGAAAAGGACTTTCCTGAATTACAGAAATTTGACAAACAATGGCATTCTGGGAAATCAATTTTTGATAATTAAAAGTGTTTGTAAAGCAGAAAACATATTTTGGTGACATTTCAAACTTTAAAGGATTAGTCCACTCCAGAATGAAAATTTTCTTATAATTTACTCACCCCCACGTCATCCAAGATGTTCATGTCTTTCTTTCTTCAGTCGAAAAGAAATTAAGGTTTTTGAGGAAAACATTCCAGGATTATTCTCCATATAGTGGACTTCAACGTGGACGAATGGGTTAAAGGTCCAAATTGCAGCTTCAAAGGGCTCTACACGATCCCAGCCGAGGAATAAGGGTCTTATCTAGCAAAACGATCGGACATTTAAAAAAACAAAAACATTTTTAACCACAAATGCTTGACTTCACGTACTACGGTAGTCACGTTGGAAAGGTCACGTGTGATGTAGGCGGAAGTATGGAAAACTATATCTCATTATCTCAAACTCATCCGACATCGTTGTTTTACTTTTTTTTGTAAAGGGTGTTTGACTTAGTCTTTGCACATTTGCTTTGTAAACATTGGGTTGGTACTTCCGCCTACGTGTGACCTTTCCAACATGACTACGTAATGCATGAAGTAGTGGACGTCGCAGAGCTAGTGGAAGACAAGAATTTGTGGTTAAAAAGTATATAAAAGTATATAACAGATCGTTTCGCTAGATAAGACCCTTATTCCTAGGCTAGGATTGTGTAGAGCCCTTTGAAGCTGCATTAAAACTGCAATTTTGACCTTCAACCCGTTGGACCCCGGTGAAGTCCACATATGGAGAAAAATCCTGGAATGTTTTCCTCAAAAACCTTAATTTCTTTTCGACTGAAGAAAGAAAGACAAGAACATATTGGATGACATGGGGGTGAGTAAATTATCAGGACATTTTAATTCTGGAGTGAACTAATCCTTTAAGACATGGCTTTATCAAGCCACCATTCAAAGTTTGTCTCAACAAACCTTTCCTTTCTAGTTATTAATTACACATATTTTCAGTTCATTTGAACGAATGGATTTTTTTTTAAAGCATTCTGAATTCTGAATCCAGCACAAATTTAAGGAATCCAGTCTGAAAACATATTTGTAATTCAGTTTGGTTTGGGAAATGGTGCAGAAATTTCACATTTCACCTTTATGTTATTCTCAACATAGGCTCATTGGAAAAATGTGCCTCTCCACCTAAACTCCAAAAAACATACCTATAGATACAATTTACTACAGTTTCCAGCTCAAATAAACAGTAGTGGCAGTAAAACACCAACATTTTTCAGTCATTTTCACACAGATTAAGATTACATGGGCAGATATCAATTAATTTCACGTTGTACTTTGCACAATAATGTGTTATGACCTCAAAAGGCTTTTACCACAGTGCATGGTTTGTAAACTGATACATTTTAATGTTTGCTTCACATAACCAGCTCCATGTGCCTGGCTTTTTTTTGACATAGTAAACTTACTCGGTAGCTCACCTGCATAATTGCGCTTGCAATGCGTCACGAAATGTGCAAGAAGCAAAGTAATATCATTTCGTAGAAATGTTGCCACAGGCACGTTTTTCCTATGACCCTGGGTTGGTTATTCTGCCCATTGATTTGCTACTCACGTTGATGGACGGCCACGACTGGGCGTGCTCTGCATGCAGGTATCCAGGTGGGTGGCAGCTTAGGGTGTTGGGACGGGAAGGAATGGGGAAAGCCGAACAAGAGGCGGGGCCTCTGGAGCTCGATGAGGGGCTCGACACCCCCAGTGTTCGCGGTGGACTGATGGGATGAGGGCAGGACCACTCCTCCTCATCCTCTGAGGACTGAGGAGGCTGTGGGGATGGATGCAGAGATGCTGGGCTGGGCTGAGGCTCGAAATGCAAGTGGGACACATCCGAGTGGTGGAAGGACAGCTCCCTGGACAGCCGTGGAGATTCAGCCAATCCCCCATCGCCAGACTGAGAGCCCTGTCTTTGAACTAACATGTGCTGGCTTCCTCCATGTTGCTGTTGTTGTTGCTGCTGTTGTTGCTTCTGCTTGTGGTAGCTGTCGACATAAGGTCGAGGTTTCGGCAGGGTGGACACCGGGTCCAGAGTAAACCGTGGCGGCCGTTGATAAGCCGACGGATCGGCTACTTCAGAATAACTGCGTCTTCCCTGGAAACTGGCCCTCAGGTGGTGGGAAGTGGGCCTGCAGGAATAGGAAGCGGGCCCGTCGCTGAGCTCAGGCAGAGGTGAGCGACGGTGCATGTCCGGAGAGAGTCGCTGCAGGATAGGGGAGCGCCGCTGGGGCACAGGGGAGTGGCGCTGTTGGATGGGGGAGTGACGCTGTTGGATGGGGGAATGCCGCTGCGGAATGGGCGAATGCCTCTGGTGAGGGACAGGAGAGTGGCGCTGAACTAGAAGATGAACACAAAAGTGAAAAAAGCTCTATAGGTTAAATATAAGCAGTAAGACATTAAACATAACCACGTTGGATAAATGCTTGAGATCAGTGTTAATCTTGTTAACAAAATTACTTCTAAAAGTCAGCATGAAATTAAATGTCACCATACTATTTTCTAAATCCATTTTATTATGTTTTACTTTTACTTTTGCATTTTTTTTTTTTTACCTAGTAATCTTGAACTCGACCTTCTGGTCAAACAACAGACTTCTCTCTGGTGACGTTTCTAATCCTTTATTTTACTTAAACTCACCTCTGCAAGTTGGCATTCATCTACCTCCATTATGGAGTGAGACGCCCAATCAACAACTGATAAATATAAGTCACCGTCCTACATTTTTTCTTTTTTGATAATCCATTACACTCAGATGTATGTCACTATACAGAAGTAAAGATCTGTCGTTACTTCCGTTTAATCTCCAATATCAACAATAACGAAGACGAGACAAAAAATGTGCATCATGACTATATTTAAGCAATTTCAATTAAAACTATTGACGGAAATATGCCACAGCAACTATTATCAACGCACTAACAATGTTTTTTAACAATAAAAGTATAGAAAAAATATGATCATTTCAAATAATTCAATCACAGTCAATAATGACAAGGATTGACCTACAGTACATGACCCGTGCGAGCTGAAGAGTTAATGTACACTGAAGTGCTTTTTTAGCGTATTGTTAACTAAGTCACACAGACACATCCTATACATATAAGATGAATCAGATTTAAATACACAGCATAAACATAGTCAGAATGAGCAAGTCACATTGTGATTATGCACTTTCCGTAACAACAAACTAAAACATGGGCAAATGACATGAAGTATCTGTTAAAATAATGTGGTAAAATTCCTTTATAAATAGTTTGAATGTCTGGTTAAATTAAAGGTAGCATGGTTCCTTTTATTACCGGAAGAATATCTTGAAAGGCAGTGTAAAGAAAACAGTCCCCAATGGACAGATAGACGTCTGTAATGACTTCCTCTTTCCCCTCGCATTTCCTCTTTGAGATATTTCCATATTGTTTTCCTGTGCATTCACCCCCAGCACCTGTGGTAGGCTACTTCTACACAAGTTTTTGACTAGTAACGGGCATACAAGATCTTGTACAGAAGATGCATCTGTCTCTCAATAATAAGTATAACGTGCATATACTGAGCTTCCTGCAATCGCGAGATTGCAATCGGCTATTTCGAAAAATCAGTCTATCTATGAATCAGTAGGGGTTTTTTTTTTCCCCATCCGCTTCTGCTTTTTGGTCTGGTTTCCTATATCAAATAGGTTGTGTGGTTGAGTGCAGAGGTGCTAAAAAGATAAGGGGGGACTTGTTTATGTTCTCAAACTCTAAAGAAGAGACGCTCAACGTGAGAGGCGATCAAGACGTCAGCAAAAATATTCCTTGTGGAATACAGCGAGAGCAAACAAGCATGCAGTGCTAAAAAAAGCACGTTTACACACCCACTGTGTTGAATTTTGACAAGGTTGACAAATTGGTTCTATAGCAAAAGAGGTTCATTAAAGTATGAAAATATGATTATTACCTAAATCAGGTGTTCTTGACACTACATGGCAAAACGTTTGAGCATTGGTAAGGTCAGGTTTGGCAGTCAATGTTTTAAATCATCCCAAAGGACTTAATTGAGTGCTGTGAGAGCCACATATGGGAATATATTAAATTATTGATTTCTTCTTTGCAACCGTGTAAACAGGCTTTATCCAATTTTTGGATCTTGTACCTAATCAAGCCAGTTTCATTTAATTCAGTCACGGACCTCTTTCTACTGTAAATGAGATAGCCAAACCGGTAATTAGACGGTGTCGAGACAGCAACACAGTGTCGGCCCAGATCCGGGCCACATCTGGTACACGAGGATTCAACGCGAACCAGATGTGGGCCGGATCTGGGCCGACACTGTGTTGCTGTCTGGGTACGTACTTCTGGCCGAATAGTGTATATTCACGACGGTGTAAAATGTAAACACAGTTGTTCAAATCTATACCACTAATGTATAGACATGTACATCTATTAATGTATACTGAATGTCTTGTCCTCATACCTGGGCTAACCGGCTCCTGTGAGGCTTTCCGCAATATCTCGGTCTGTTTCGAGGTCAGAGACTGTAACTTGCCCAACTCCTCTGTTAGCTCAGTATAAGCCAAAGCCAGATTGACTCTGTATAGAGAACAGGAGAAAAAGAGAGAATGAGAAAAGAAACAGTTTTAGTATTAAAACCACCAAGTTTAACCATCATTGCCATATTCTTGCAATATAAATTAGGCTCATACTGTAAATTATTTACAAAACTAAACATTACATACCAAGTGCAATTAATATCATGCTATTACCGCCTGCTAACCAGCTGAGATGGAACTGCACTGGATCTAAACCGCACATATATCTGACAATGACAATAAAAAATATCAGCAGTACTTCCTCAGCACTTATGACAAATAAAAGCAATAATAAGGTGATATGCTTCAGAACATAACAATGGTTGACAATTATGTTTATGACAGTTGGTAACACTATTTAACTGTGATATGTGTCGCTCCACCAGAAAGAACATAACGCATGACTGGGCCAGAGAAGAAAACAGTGTAGTTTCTAATCATGTGACTCTGCCGCCGTCACTCACCATGGCAACACATTTCTAAAAAGCCTCAGTCATCACAAAAATTGCCAACTGATTTCCTACATTACTGTGGTAGTCTCTCGTAGCACTACGCGGTCTCCTTCTTCACACATTATAAAATAACTTTAACTCAATCAATTTTTCATGTCTAATTGTTTTTTTAATATGATAAACAGTCATATAAACAGTATTGTATAGAATAAAATAAATTAGGTTTATTTTGCAGCAATGACGGGTCAACTGTACATTACATCTTAACTTGCAAACTTGTTGCTTTCCTTTCATTGATACTCATTTCACAAAAATGTGTCAATAAAATACTGTATTGATATTATCTTGTTTACTCAAAAGATAAATTATTCAAATACATAATAAGCCTGACACAGATGAGTGATACATTTGTGATAATCATCAAAAAGTAAGTTTATTGTAAAACTAATTTTGATGCAAGGAAACAGACACTTTGTCATCAGAGGCACTTTATCTGATTCTGTACAGACCAAATTCACAAAAACCTTCGGTGCTTTATTCTAAAAAGACTCATCACTTTTGAGATGGTGTCAGATATATATGGAGAGACATTTCAGTTTTTACGCTTCAGAGGGCACATGCGACCACTCACTTTTTTTTTAAACCTGCTTACATTCGCATGAATTTGAGAACCACAGAGAAGTATATAGTATGTGTAACCATCATAGTGTTAAATTAACTTGTACTTTTCTCACCTGCGATGAGATGACTAAACGCCTGTGAAGAGACGACTCAACGCCGGCGATATGTTATGCCCTAAATTAATACTTAATTAGCTAACTGTATTTTTTCTTTGTATATTTCTGAAATGCACTTTCTGTAAAGCTGCTTTCCACCTTTAAAGGTCAACTACCACGTTGTTATGTAAAGTCACTATAATGCATATTTTAATTAATTGCAAATGATAATAATGACTAAATAAGAAAACAAAAACATGATGAGAGTCAAACATGCATGAAGGGGTCAATACTAATCATAAAGTTCAGTGCATTTTAATAAGATGAGTCAAATGAGTCAGCTGCCGCCAAAGCATGCCAAGGTCACATCTAGTCAATTTTCTCTCTCAGTTAGTGGAGGACTAAAAATCATTCTCAGCCAAACACACACACACACACACACACACACACACACACACACACACACACACACACACACACACACACACACACACACACACACACACACACACACACACACACACACACACATATCCATATGGCCCAACGATATAAAAGAGATCCAGCAGCATAGTTGCATAATCATCCCTTGTATCTGTTTATATTGAGACTACTTGATACCAAAGAACAAACTGACCTCAGTATAGGCAATGTACTGGATGCTCAGCTCTAATTTGTATTCATAGACCACAGATCAAAAGAAACCACAGGCCAATCGGCTCTAACCAGCACCACCAGTGATCTGCAAAGTTTTCCCCTGTTGCTGGCCAATTAGCCATAGCATTGGATATTCTTACCGTTCTGCTCATTGTGTCCATCATTTGGCCCTCTGGGCTCCTGAGCATCCATGGTACTCAGCGGTAATGAGTTTCCTTTCTCTTCCATCATTACAGACGCATGAGCAACAACTAGACTGTCCAAGTGTCATTCTCATTTGATAGACACTATCTATCAAAGAGGTATTTACAGCAGATTTAGATGATGTGCAACACTTCTTTTCTCACCTCCACACATGCTCGCGCACACACACACACACACACACACACACACACACACACACACACACACACACACACACACACACACACACACACACACACACACACACACACACACACACACACACACACACACACACACACACACACACACACACACTTTTTATATATATAAAGGTAAAGCTAAAATCACAACCCTTGAAGTATGAAAAAGTGCTTTTAAAATAAATATTCTGAATGTTCCAATCCAATCTGACTTCTGACTTGATGTCTGAATGCTGCCTAAATCATAAATCATACACTGTTCGTTCATTGGCCAGAGGAGAACTAACCCTTATTTAAGCTGGATTGTGACGCTACTTTCTTCTGCAAACAAACTTTGTTACATTATTTTCCTGTTATCTCTGTAAAGCTGCTTTGAAACAATCTGTATGTAAAAAGCGCTATATAAATAAAGGTGACTTGACTTGCCTTTTGTTGAGCAGCTGCAGTACTATTAAGTACAAAAAGTAAAAAAAAAAAAACACACACGGTGGGAGGATGTGTACGTGTGTGTGTGTGTGTGTGTGTGTGTGTTTGGTGTGTGTGTGTGTGTATATCTGAGCTTTTTTATGTGAATATTGATGATGATGAACTGTGGGAGGGATGGGTGTGTGGGCTGCTTGAGCGATGTCTGACCTTTGTTCTGAAACTAGTATCTATAATATTCTTCATCTTTATGCAAACAAATGTTGGCTATATGTATTTATCTTCTATTTTTCAGCAAAACTTCAAAATAAAGCAGCCAAATAACTTAATCAGCACAGCACACACTACAGACGATAAATACCATGTAATCAGGAACAAATAAGGACCTTACACCAAAGAGCATTATTAAAAATAGTTGCAAAATATCCATCTCAACTCTTCGAACCAGTTTCTTTGGGTAAATAAAGCACTTTAAGTTTTGCTAACCAAACATCTCAATGTATACACACACACACACACACACTTAAAAAACAGTTTAACTGAGAGTTTCTATACAATGAGGTGACACTCTCTGGTTTATGAAGTGGCATGTTGGGACATCACCTTGCAGTGCGCCATATGTTTAAAGACCATTTTAACTATTAGTTGAAGATAGTTTTTATTCTGTAGCAGCTAAGTAAATTTAGCTGACAATGCATTAATATTAGCTAAATGTATCCATTTTCAATACTTTTATTACTAACTACTAGATCAATAAAGTTACCATTAAAATCTAAAATTTAATCTGTACATTTATTTATTTATTTATTTATTTGAGCAGTAACCATTCTGCTCAAAAGGAGTGAGCCGAAGCAAAGGAGCTTATAAGCGCACCCCCAAAATGTAATACAAGAAAAATTCTCATTTCGCAATAGTACAAGGGAACATAGTGCAAAAGCAACAATACAACAACAAAGAGACAACAAAGTATCTGATCATGGTAGAAATACCCCTAATGACAAATCATTTCTTCTTCTCTATACTTAAAAAAAAATTTTTTATTTGTATTTGAAAAGCTTGATGTTTAGACTTCGTTTCATCACCATCTCCAAATTATTCCACAGTTGTACCCCATTAACTGTAAGGCTAAAACTTTTCAAAGTTGTACTATGTTTCTGCGTCCTAAAGTTTAAATCTTCACGTAATTCATAACAACCAGTACGTTCTTGGAACCTTCTTTGTATTTGGCTTGGTAACAATTTGTGCCTTGCTTTGTATAGCATCTGTACTGATTGGAACTCAACAATGTCATAGAACTTCATGATCTTTGATTTTAAAAATAATGAGTTTGTGTGGTCCAAAAACCCAACTTTATGAATTAATCGGATAACTCTCTTTTGCAACATTACTATTGGTCTTAATGTGCATTTATAAGTGCTACCCCATATCACAGAACAATAATATAAATAGGGCAAGATCAAAGAACAATATAAAGTATGCAGAGCTTTAAAGTATTACATAAAGTATGCAGAGCTTTAAAGTATTACATTGCTTAAGAAAAAAACATATAACATGTACATATAGCAATTTTTCTTTTAGGGATGGAAATTTCAATTAAAGATACCAGAACATTGCTAGAAAACAAGACAAAACATCAAAAACTACCAGCATAAGAATGTCTGAGTAACTGCAAGTAAGATTTTGGCCGTTTTCTGTTAAATCACGGCTTTTACAAGAACCAGCAGTTCAAACAGAGAGGGGGAGTAGAGTATGAAACTGTGAGGTGCAAAGAGATGTAGGCATTACTGGGACCTTCCTTTCCAAGACTCTCCATTTCACTTAAACACAGGTTACTTTCAGTTCACCTGTATTCTTTTCAGCGTCAGTTAGACTTTAGACCACTTCTGTGTGATTGTGAAAGTGATCTGGAGGCTTGCCAATAGCTATACTGCCCTCTACTGGCACATATCCATGGCCCACACATTTAAAGGGAACTAGCCATGAAATTTCAGCAAAATCTACCAAAAAAAAAAAGTATGTGCAGCTGTGGTCTTTTAATCAAGGAAATAGACACTTACTGTTCATCTCCAACTTTCTTTATCCACTCCACATCACACTGTCCACACGTGGAGCTCACCTCCTGTGCAAAAGACAGTCATGTCAGGCTTTATGCTTTCTTTATATTACCTATGTGCAATCTGAACTATATGTGAACCTTCACTCCGGTTCAAAAGTTTGGGGTCGGCAAGATTTCTTAGTAACACTTTACAATAAGGTTTCATTAGTTAACTATATTAGTTAACATGAACTAATAATGAACTGCACTTCTACATCATTTATTAATCTTTGGTTAATGTTAATTTCAACATTTACTAATAATACATTATTAAAATAAAAAGTTGTATTTGTTAACTTTAGTTAACTAACATGAACAAACATTGAACACCTGTATTTTTATTAACTAAAGTAACAAAGATTAACAAATACAGTAACACATGTTTTACTCATGGTTAGTTCATGTTAGTTAATGACTAATGTTAACAACTGAGACCTTTTTGTAAAGGGTTACACTTTTTTTTTTTAAGTCTCTCACCAAGGCTACATTTATTTGATTAAAACAGTAATATTGTGACATAATATTACAATTTAAATTACATTTCTTTTTATTATATTTTAAAATGTAATTTATTCCTGTGATGGCAAAGCTGCATTTTCAGCACTAGTCTTCAGAGTCACATGATCCTTCAGAAATCATTCTAATATGATGATTTGGAGCTCAAGAAACATTTCTTCTTATTACGAAAACAATTTTGCAGATTAATTTTTTTTTGTGTGAAATATATGTGCATCCTTGATAAAAGTATTAATTTCTTCCAAAGAAATATAAAGTCCAAGTTTATAAAAGCATAAAAGGTCACGCCACTGCTGGATCTGAGACAAAATTCAAAGGCAAAATTCAGTTACTAGGCTATAATTGAAAGACAAAGTTTTTTTTTTATTGAATTTTGATTGTTTTATTATTACTCATCACATTGTTCTCTATCTGATAAAGCACAGATCATAGTCAAATATATCTACTTCTCTTAGAAAAAAAAGGTTCTATATAGAACCTTAAATGGTTCTGTTCTGTCATGCAGTTTTTATATAGAACCTATTAGAAGTTTCCATCATGGATCCTTTTATGGATTTAGTTTTAAATAATTAATTTGGATTTATTGACAGTTGATTTAATGGATTTTTCATTTTAATGACATTTTATGAATTAAGCAGCTTGTAAACATACTTTTTCACTATATATTTTTTTAAATAACCCGTCGAACACTTAAGTAGGCCTATTATGCAAACATTTAAAGACATTTCTCTTTATATAGAACCTTTTTTTGGTATAAATGGCATTTTAGAATCCTATAGGGTAAGAACCCCCGTTGAACCTTTTACCTAAGAGTTTGATTTTGGTCAAAACTCTATTCTGACAATGTGCAGTTCATTTGTCTTTAAGCATGAGCATGTCACTGACCCTCTGTCTCTGGTTGCTTTGCAATTCTCTCAGCTCTTCCCGTAGTCTCTCACATTCAGCCTTTAGGTCCTCCTCCCTCTGACACGCCCCCTGAGCCTCGTGCCGTGCCCCCTCTAGCTCCGCCTCCAGGCGCTGTAATTTGAGGTCAGAGAGGGTGTCCAGACTTCGGGAGCTCTGTAGGGTCATGGGGCAGTCTAGCACTAGGGATGGGACAGTTATCATGATTAGATAAGCCAAACACATTGCGTCAATGAATAAAACTGTGCCTTTTACTGCTGGAAAAGAAGGTCAACATACACAGCCTATGCAATACAAAATTTGTTTAAAAAGAATAAAAGTAACTAGGAAATATCAGAGCTTGTAAATATAAGCTTGTGTTTTTTATACTTTAGTTTTGTGTAAATTGAGTTCTGTTGAAGTGTAAATGTCTATAAAAAAAGCCTTTCACAAAGGATCTTTCACAATCCACATGACAGACCAATCGCAATTCAGTATGCAAATAAATGTAAGAAAGAAGATCAAATCAGCCAGATCTATATTACAGTGCCTGGGCCAGACCTGGGCCATATCAATAAATAAGAGTCATTTTACAGGGTGTGGGCCACATATGGGCCAGAGGAAATTGTCCGTTTTCAGTGTGTGGGCCAGTTTTGGGCCTGGGACCTCAGCCAGAACTGGGCCAGAATTAAAGCAAGGATGAGGCCCCTGAGAATCCCCATTGCTATCTGGGAATGCTGTACAGTGTGGAGATATTGTCAATAAGAATGATTTGAAAGCCAAATTGAGATTTTCAAACTTTAATATATTAAAGTATGAAGTTTAATAAATAGATGGCACATCAAAGGCTGAAATTAAATAAATCACCAAAAATGTGAAGTATAATGTTTCAAGAATATCGATATATTGCTGGTGTTCCTCAAAAGAAACATCCTCACAACATGTGATGATGCAGACAAATTGTCCGATCTATCACAGATCTATCTTTGACCTCATCTGTCACTCAAAACAGGTTTAAGCGAGACCAACAGATATACCTTTTGTGTTTGTCTACACTAATGGGAAATTCTCTCCTCCATCAGCCAATGGAAAAGACGGCAACTTATCTGGACAAGTTGCCCTATAGGGACACCAATGTTAACACAGTTGATTTCTGCCCTGTTAACTTAACAGGGCAGAAATCCAACCTAAAGTCATCCTACATGCGTCCTTTACTCCATGTACTATAGCTCAGAAACCTTGAAGATGGAGAATACAAGACTGAACTATTCCCTGTCAGAGCGTCCTGCTCCTCACCCCCGGCGTGGGTGCTGTGATTCAGCAGCTCATAGAAAAGCAGTCCTTGAGCCAGCAGCTATTGTGACAGTTCAGCAATAAGCAACCAGAAAACACACACCCCTGCACGCCTACATCTCACACCAAAACCACAGTGAAATGGATTTTTATTCTTTTTTTTCTCCATAGTTGCATGAAATATTTGTATTCATGAGGGCACACAAAATTGACATAATTCTTGTATTATTTTCTGACAAGGTTACAGAACATCTCTGTTGTGCAATTTACATAAATACATAATTTTCTTGAGTTCTCCGGGATTATTTGACTCCTGTTGAGCGCCTTTGAGTTTGACTGAAACGTTTTAGATCCCTGAAAGAGGGTCACAGGGGAAACGTATGTCCTTTCCACTTACATAGTCTCTTTGTTGTGAGAGTCTTTTCTGAGCCTCAATCCGAATAAAAAGAGACAGTGAAAGGAAAGAGAAAGGAAGAGGGAAATTAGGTAAAAGGAGAGAGATGCAACACAACACTGCCATCAGGGGAAAAAACAAAGAGGACCAAAAGGACAAGAGGACCGATGCTTGGTCTGTTTGAAGTCCTTCATCGGAGAGGGGCTCTTTGAAAAAAAAAACTAAATTAGGCTAGATTGAAAACTGGACAGAAATTGTGAAGCATATATAATGAAAAAGGACACTTCAAAGACCCAATACACAATTGTTGTGGAATACAAATGAAGCCGGCACATAAAATGACAAATAATGAACATGCTGATATATAAACCTAATAGCAAATATATATAAATGGCAAAACACCAAGCTTTTCATTGTCTTAACCACAAAATATTGGTCAGGATATGAGCAAAACTTAAGCAAATGCACTACTTAAAAAAGTCATTGCGGTCTCAGAAAAACATCAAAATACAGAATTAGGTTTTCAGCAGAATATGGGAATTGAGTGTGGAGTGATAAATCACAATGAAACACGAGTGGCATGGTGATGCTCCAGAACGGTGTCTTCGAAAATCTGGTGAGAAATATAATAATAAATGCATCTCTACCACAGTGAAGCATGGAGGGAGATGTGTTATTGTGTGGGGAGCCTTTTAAGCTGCTGGTATGGGTGAGCTATTTAACTGTAAATAGTTAATTGTTCATGCAAAATTCTGTCATTGTTATTGTTTACTCATGTTGTTCCAAACCTGTATGAGTTTCTTTGGTCTGTTGAACACAAAAAATATATATTTTAAAGAATGGTGTTAATCAAACAGTTGACTTCCATAGTTTTTTTTTCCTACTATGGAAGTCAGTGGCTACCGTCTACTGTCTGGTTACCAGCATTCTTCAAAATATCTTATTTTGTGTTCAAAAGAACAAAGAAACTCATACAAATTTGGGAGAACTTGAGGGTGAGTAAATGATGAACATCTTTTTATAAACATTTTTATTTTTGGGTGAACTTTCCCTTTAACAGAGAGTGGAACACACTGACTCTTCTTCCTGTAAAAAGCTGTCTGCAAGTTAGGGAAGGCTATTCTAAGTTACTTTATCTACATTATTTGTGCAATTCTTGCCCATTTCCTGACCAGTGATTTGTGATTAAAATGGTTAAGACCATTAAAAGACCACTAAATATTTTGCCAGTTTTTTGTTTTGAAATAGATGTGACGTAAGATCATACAAAGTGCAGTACTGATCGAATACACACATTTTCATGCACTCTTTACTTGTAGAGACCTATATGACATTCACTATGTAGTGAATAGAGCACGAGTGAATGAGTCAACAGTAGCGGTTTTAATCACAGATCCCCATGTCCTAGACCACTGAGTGATTTCTAAATGAACATCTGCATGCACACACACAAAACAAGACTTACTATGCGGGTCAGGGCTGTGAAGTTGCAGATACTGCATGTCTTTGTTGTGTAGCTGTGTGTTGAGCTTGTGTAGAGAGCTTTCTCTCTGCCTCAGAGCCGACTCTAGACTGTGAATCCGCTCGACGTGTTTCTCCACCATAGACGCCTGAGACCGGGAAAGAGTGAAAGAAGAAAGAGAAAAGAAGAGAGGGAAAGGGACAAAGATGAGCACAAAAGTAAAAGATTATAAAATATTAAAACTGAAACACCAAAAAGAGAAAGCACAGAGAGTAACATGGGCAAAGAGGGACTGATCAAAAGATAGACAAGGCCAAAGAAGCCATTACTTTCACCATGCAGATTCTCACGACATTCATGTCCATGTGGAATTTTTTGTCAGCAATAAAAGATGAGGACATGTAGATCTAACAGCTGATAGCTGGCTGAGTGTTTCGGAGAGGCGAACGGCGCAGATGCTCAAAAGCTTGCATCATGCAATTTTCAAAACTTCACTCTTTTGGTCCCAATCCATTCAAAGCCATTTGAGACCCATGTTTAAAACTGAGAATTGAAATGTGCATATATGATTACAGATATCCAGCATCACCCACATGGCTGGGAAATATAAGAGCCCAATTACATTCACACAGCCTCGTTAGGACGTACGCATAGTACAAGATTAATCAAGTGGACACCTGGTTGGATTAAAGCCTGAAGCACATGGAGAGGCTAATTATCGCAACTGCCCATCCGCTCGGCAGCCAAACTTAGCATGGATGTCGGGGAATGCATTTTTAGAAGAGCTCTCACCATCTTGTCCAGGTCTCGCTGAAGGCTGGACTTCTCCATGTGGATCTTCTCATAGGCCTGAATGACATCTTCAAGCTGCTCTTCTCGTTCTTTGCTCTTCTGAAGCTGTAGAACACACACACACATTCTTCATTTTTACATTTTCATCAAAACATTATTTAGTGAATTTCAAGGGCAGTTAGGCCGTCCTCAGGCTGTATAATGACAAGCTGTTGTAACATTTGGTATTAGGCAGGTGTAGTATAAAAATATATTAAAAACATTCTAATTTTGTCAGTTATTTCTTGTCATATTTATTTTTGGACTGGCTTGTTTGTTACCATTATGGATTTTATATGTTCCTATAGGCCCATAAAATCAGTTCTGCTGGAAGCTGTGATCTAAATCTTATGCATATGCACTGTTGAGCAACAGTATCAACTGTTAACTATATTTCAATAATATCAGGCTCAACTATGGAAAAACAACAAGCATTTTTCCCCCCTTATTCAGGGAATATATTTTTACTCTGATTTTAACCTTTTTTATTTTTTACCAATATATTTCACATTTATTAGAAATATTTTATATGTCTGTATGTGTGTATAACATATAGGTACATATACATACATAGATACTTTTGCTGAAAAACAGTGGTACTGTATATGATTACTGAGTTTATGACATTCTTCATTTTTTGCTATCCTGTTGACAAATCAGCAACAGAAAACCAAAGTTTATGTTTACAAGGCAAAAACATGGATGTACAAGATCAACAAAAAGTAAGCTTTTGAGTGGCGAAAGGGCAAGTGACTGTTCTGTCAACTGTTCATGTTGCATACAACTTTCACATTCTGACAAATTGCTTGTCAGTAGAAAGAGGTTAGAAAAAAAAAATAATAATAACAGGAAAAAGGATAAAAACATTTATCGACAGAGGGTGTTCTTCTACCTGATATAAAAATGAAACAAATACATTCGTGTCGTTGCCTGCACTTTCATTTTGTTACAGACGCATAAGCATCTACTTCAATTATCATATAACACACCTCTCTGCAGTGATCCTTTGGCTTCACAGATAATAGTAGCTTATTTTCAGAAAAATAACAGAACGGGTTATTTACTTTCAATTGTGCTGCATTAGATCTCTGCGATAGCTCATGACTGCAAAGCTCTTTGGTGTTAGGGGGAAAAAAAAGAAGTAAAGAATGAAACACAACAAGACATGAATAAAGGAGGAAATCCACAGTCAAGCGATGATAGAGGGGAAGAATAAGGAAAGTACACACAAAGTATCAAACGTCAGCAAAAGCGAGGGAGGTGTGGGAGAGAGAAGAACAGATGACAAAGAGAAATCTGGTTCTTCGACGAAGGGAAGGCTGCTGGGTGGCTATGGAAACACATAGCAAGCATCATTAATTAATGAGACGCTTCGCCAGGCAATGAGCCGAGAGATGCAGAGAGAGAGAGTATGATCTTCCCATTTACACTCCACATCACAGCCAGTCGGGGGAGACGATTGAGAGCGGGCTTCAGGCACACAAAACCGAACGTAGTCTAGATTACGTAAGGCCTTTGTCATGAATGACTGGGCATTCGAAAGTTGTCCTTCATTACCCTACTAATCGTATTACTGTAATTCTCTAATCTTTCCATTTTGTGTTGTGTAATCCAGATTTACAAAACAATATAGCCAAATCACAATATAACAAGAGCAGAACAACAGATGAAATACAGTCCAGAAAGAGGAGGATGTGTGTATATGTGTTTGTCCTCTCACCTCGAGGGTCAGCATGTTGACTCTCTGTTGCAGACTTCCATTCTCTGACTGGAGCAGCGCTGTGTCTTTGGGCTCAAAGGAGCAGTAGGAGTTTCTGTCCTCTCCAAACTCGCTTATCATGGGGAACTACACACACGTACAAGAAAAGTGACACGGGTCATCACAGGCACAAACAGCCATTAAACAGAATCATTTAGGACTGGTTTCACAAACAGGGTTTAGATTAAGCCAGGATTAGGCGTTAGTTTAATTAGGACATTTAAGTAGCTTTAATAAACATGCCCTAGAAAAAAACATTACTGGTGTGAATCTTGAGACAAAACAATGGCACTGACATATTTTAAGATATGTCAGTGCAAGTTGCTTTCAGGTAAGACAGCTCAAATTTGCAGTTTAGTCTGGGACTAGGCTTAAGCCTTGTCTGTGAAACCAGGGGTTTGAGTTCATTAAACAGTTGCACCACTTTTGTCACACAAACCATTATCGTATTCATTAACCACCCACAATCTGGTTTAACCGGGCACTATAGCACTGTTTAAATGAAGTCATTGTCTTTCTTTTTAGCACAAATATTCATTCTTTCTATGCAAATGATGTCTAGAGATTTAACATTGTGCAGAAAGCAGATATATATATATATATATTTTTTAAACAGATGCTTGTGAAAATTCTCATGCAATTATGAAATTATCAAGAAAAGCATTGGGCAAATATCCAGATGATAGGTATAGTGAAGCACATGTTGTTACTCTCTCACCACCTTCCTTTCCTATAAAACAAAGGCAAATGCCAAAAATAAACACATTCTTTCTTTAAAAAATAAATTATTACTTTTATTCAGCAAGGATGATTTCAATTGATCAAAAGTGACAGTAAAGACATTATAATTTAAAAAAAGATTTATATTTCAAAAGAACAGCAGTTAGCGGTTTGTTTTCAACAACAGTATTAAGCACCACAACTATTTTCACCATTAATTAATATAATTTTACTATATTAATAAGAGTACTATATTTCTGCATTTCAGAATGATTTCTGAAGGATCATAATGGCTAAGTAATAAGTAGTAAGTAATGGCTGCTGAAAATTCATTTTTCACATCACAGGAATACATTAAATTTTAAATTATATTAAAACAAAGGGATTAAAATCAGTTATTTTAAATTATTATAACATTTCACAATATTACAGTTTTTACTGTAAAAAATAAATACACCCTTGTGACAAAACACCAAACTTTTGAACAATAGTGTATTTGCAACACTGAAAGGAACCTTTTTTTTTTTGGAGACCTTTTTATTTACTGCCCTCAGATGACCTCCAGATGGGATAAAGTTAATCTGCAATTTAGCAGCATATGATTAGACTTACCGAAACATATGTAAAACCAGTATTCGTTATGGTGTTTTAGGTAATTGCCAGGACATACAGTATACACACTATAATATATATCAGTAGATGCTGCGTGCACTGATGTGCTGGATCTTATACATTTTTACTCCCACAAGCTTTGAGAGCCGTGTGCATTTATTCCCCACTTTTAGCCCTTTACTAGGCAGTGAGCCATAGTGAACGCAGAACCCTGGAGGCTCTCTCTCTCTCTCTCTCTCTCTCTCTCTCTCTCTCTTTTTCTCTCGCCTTCTGTAAAAACAGCTGTTCTTCAGAGCCTAGCCATCCTTGGTGCGTATACATGCATATGTTTGGGCAGGGCCAAACCAAAAAGCTTTAAAAATACCCAGTCTGGAGCATCTACAACCTGCAGCTCCCCAAAGACCTGGAAGCTGGCCAACCTACCTAGTCGTACGAAAAGATCACATCAAATGAACCAGCTGCACACTCTGTTGAGTGTGTTACTGCACAGCACAAGCATTGTGCTCCTGATTTGTAATCCACGGAAGATAAACATTCTCATCTAAATGTGAATAATAATCACGTGTTCATGTTTAATGATTAATAGAGATGTGATCTACTTTCCTAACAGCGATCTAAACAGCATCAGGAGCATCTTGCATTGTGTGTATAAGTGGCTTTGTGCATTTTAAGTGGATGCGTGACATGCTAATTACAGAGAGCATGCACACTTGTTCATGTACAGCTCGGCTCACGTGTTAGCTGGCCTATAAATAAAGCTCTTTCATACATGAAGCAGGCACAGCTCTTAATGAGTGCTGTCATGCCACAGCCATTAATCAACTCAATGTTATATGCTTAGCATAAACTCTGACAACAGCTTATCAGTATTCAGCTGCTGAACTCACAAAGATCAGTATAATTTCACAAGAAAACTGTAAAGCAACTCCGCAATAGTTATATAAAAAATGTGGCATCTACCAGCAAACTTAACGCTATTGGCTATTTGAAAAGGGTGAGGGGCCATTCAATATGTCCCACCTTAGCTTCCTGTTTCAGTGGAAATTACGTCAACGCATTATACAAAGCTGCGCGTTCAAAGGCACTTCAGTGGGCCTTTAAGCATCCCTACACTGTGGTATAGTAAAAACTAATTTGATAGGCAACGCCATTTGAAAATGACTCATTTTAAAATTTTAATTAGGTTTAACAGACTATTTTATCTACAGTAGCATGTGGACAATAAATGTCTACCAATTTCAGTCCACACTATCGGTAGTTACAACACCGACCGACATCTAAGGTGACCTCTGCTGATATCTGAAGCTAAAGGACCTTTGAGGCGTTTTGTACCTTTATCTCGTAAATCTTGAGTTTTCTTTTGATGTCTGCATTCTCTCGCTCGAGGCCAGCCAGTCGAGTCTTAATGTCCTGGTATGCGCTGATGAGGGCGAAGTGCGAGGCAGAGTACATATCCTCTGATAAGGGAGAGCTGGACCAGCCCACCCCACAGCCATCTTCTTTCAGACCCTCGTTACCCCCCAGCAAGCCCAACTGGCCCCCGAAGAGAGACTCCATGACTCCTGATCCTCAACCTGTGAGATGTGAGAGAGAAAGAGAAAGGTTGTTTATGTGCATCAAAAATGTGAGCTAATCAGCCTTGGGAGGTTCGTCCTTTCATCTCGAACATAATTTATCACTTCTTCTCATCACTTCTTCAATGGTTCTGTTATGGTGCGTGCTCTTCCCTTTATAAGCTCCACTTCACCCTCACTCAGGATAATTATTTCCTTTCTCAACTACACTTCTCATTAGTATTGACATCCATGCCACAAACCACCAAACCGCACCAAACAAAAGCATCTTTACTGAAGGGCAGAGTTGTTTTCTTTCTCGACCACATGCCCTTTAGCTTCTCTGGATATGTTTGGTCATTTTTTGGGGGGGGAAATGTGGACCGACCACAGTCAATGAGACGTCATCAATTATTCAGGAAGACAAAAGCCAGAGATACATAAAAGGGCTGAGCGGCATGACCTGATTCAAGAACATGCTGCGCTGCTAAGAGGATGACATCACCGCCTAGCAACAATGACTGAGATCACAAGTACAGCTGCCATTTCTTACAAGCTTCTACAGGGCCAGCAAATTTTGTAAATACAGCATGGCGATGACATTAAATTAGCTGGAGAGAAAATTAGGCATGTCAAAAATCTGCAATAATTTACATTTTTTATTGATGGTGTACATATAAACTGTGTTCCGAAACCTAATGAGGTGCCTAGCTGTCGTCTTTAAGGCGGCATCCTATCTGAAACGAAACCTCTTAAGTGACAGATTTGGAGCGCTCTACATAGGCAGCAACTCTGTGCGTCATATAAATAGTGCTTCTCACACAAACCACACAGGAGATATGACTCACAATCGATGGCAATCGTTTGCTGTTTGCATGTTGCTAAGCTAACAATGCAATACATAGTTCATGCAAATATTGTGTATACTTGTAATTGGCCCATTTGTTATTAGACTGAAATAATTTGTATCCATACATTTCAGTTTTGATTATGTACAGTTGCATAAATATATTATTTCCAAACAACATTTATAATGCTAATATTACAAATGTGGCCAATAATTATAAGCCGGTAATTAAATGGTTATCAACATAAGATTTCATCTAAATAAATAAAAAAGTGAAATATAAACTACAATCAACAACTTAAAAATCTACAAGTGAATTAATGCACCACAACATTATAATATACACTACAAAATTTTAGGGTGATACATTTTTCAGAATTCTTTCATGAATAGAAAATGCACTGCCACTTTTGATCATGTTTAATGCATCATTCCAGAATAAAAGTATTAATAAAAATAATAATAATCATACTGATCTCAAACTTTTGAATGGTAGTGTAAAATTGGCCAAGAGAAATTGGTTAAAGACTACATTTATCAGTGTAACTAAATTGTTTACTTAACTTTAAAAGTTAACTTTAGATGACTGCAAAGATAATCTAATTGTTAGAATGGTTACAATGAGAAATATCCAATATCTGATTTAAAAAAAAAATAATAATAATATATATTTTTCCATAACTAAAAAATATTTTTAGTTTTGTATAATAAAGTTTTATATAATTTATAATAATATATTTTATTATAATATTGGCCGATTACCAATAATAATATGTAACAATACATTGTGCATCCTAATATTTTGGAACAGCTTTTGTGTCGGAAGTGTAGACTAACTGCTCAAAGACACTGAACTTGACTTGAATGCATGATGTGTCAGGCAGCCATGTTTGTAGAGGTGTAGCTCTAGTCCCGTGTGTTGCCTTCACTATGATGAATCGCTCCAGTGTCATCAACAACACTCATTCACACTAGACAGTACTGCACTCAACAACAAGGCAGGACACAAACATGTATAGATAACATGGAGTAAGCAGAAAAAAAGTAACATTTTCACTGTTAAGTGTTTATTAAGATAATATGGATATGTGTGCAGCATAAGGTCGGCCATCTGATACACCACGGAGGTGTGAGGAGATTTAACTGCACACAAAATGACTCAGATGCTTCTTACTTAGTAAGCTATTTTTGATCACTTGCGTACCAATGTTTAAAAAAAAAAAACATACAAAGAAGCCTTGGACCTCTTCCTGGGTGTTCTCTTGATTCTACTCGCTCTCTTTCTCTCCATCCTTCAGGGTAATCCAGAAAAACACCCACTCACACCAATACATTTGCTCAGGCATGGCTAAGCAGCATGACCATGGGGGAGAGATTGCTGTTCTGATGAAGGTGTGAATGTGTGTAGGTGGAAGAATATCACTTTAGAGACATTCCAACCCACTACATTAATACAAGTGTGTTCTCACTCAGGGCTTCTCTGTGTGCTGCATAAGGAGTTGCAGCACAATGCACTTATCTCATGTGATGTCTATGTTATTGCAAACATAATGAAGTGTCATGCCCATATAATCTATTTCTCTGATAAAAAAGTGGCATGATTATCATAGTACAACATTTTTTGGGGGGCTAAAACACAGCAGTCAGAAATCACCTAATTACATGCATAAATTTGGTTAATCCGATAGGGTTGCAAATTTTTTTCCCTGTGGAATTCAAAATCAGTAATGGAAATGTCAATGTTGCTCTTTTTCATACAATAAAAATGGCATTGACTGGCTGTCAAGTTCAGCTGCAATTTTGCGTGGTTTATAAAAAATAAAAATATTTATTCCTTTATTAAAATACAGAATATATATATATAATACATATAAAAAAATAAAAATAATTATATTACAATTAAGAAATATACAATTCTTTATTATAATGTATAATATAATGTGCTGCATGTTTCAGAGTGAAGCACAAATAAATTTGTTATTTTTAGTAAGACAGTCATATATTTCGGTCTTTATTTTTTTATAAATAAAGTTAAAACATACTACTACTGTAATGGACTGCCTGTTTTGTTTTTGTTTAATGGACTTTTAGTTTGTTTTTCTCAGTTACCTGTTTCCCGCTCTTCATTTGTTACCATGGTTTTTGTGAGTTACACATTGTTACGAAGCCTTTCTACTTGTGGATAACTTGAGCGTGTTTTATTAATAAAACCTTTGTTTGTTTGAACCTGTTTGAACTCTTTCATCATCATCATAATCTGGACAAAACTACTAAAATTGACACAATGAACACTACGATGATGATGATTATTATTATCATCAACATCATAGAACTGTGACCATAGAAATGTGTCGTTAAATTATTGAGATATTAACTTGAAAAATTATCTCAGTGGGTACTTGAAGTAAATATATTAGGTTCAGCTGACAAAATGTAAATGTGAATGTGAATTTGAAAGACAAAAGCCTGCATGGTTAAATGACTCACTGAGTTATAATTCAAATAATAATGCATGTGTTCATCAGAAGATTCGATATGCAATGTTGAGAATACACTTCTTAAAATTAAAAATAGGTGTCTGTAAATCCAGTGATTAATGCTGTGTGGGTCTCAGTTTTCAGTGATAGGAACATGACTATGGCTGGTCTGTGTGTGCAATTCCACAAACCTGGAAGACCTTCTGAACACAAGTAAATCTAGGGAGAATCAATGAATAATGACTAATTTACTGCCACTGTGTAATTTTCTCAATAGAAAAGTAACTGTACTTAAATTATTACATTGTTTAAATGAGTAAAAACAATTTTTAGCTAACTGTGATATGTATATATACATTTATGAAATACATAACTAAGTTACCGCTAACAGATCACTCTAAATTGTAATGCTGGACTCATGCATTTTCTGTAAAGCTGCTTTGAAACAACATGTATTGTGAAAAGAGCTATACAAATAAATGTGAATTGAATTGAATACTCTGATTACGAGTATTTTAAAATGTAACAATCTTATTACAAGTACTTAATTTTTGGAATCTGATTACATTTCCCCCCAATCCAGATTACATATAATCAGTTACTAACTTACTACCCAGCACTGAAACCAGTATTTCAATCTGGGTCTCATTGCTCACTGATTAAAAAACTATTGTTAGACTAACTTGTCTTACATAAAACAAAGTCCGTTGTTAAAATGGTTTTATTCCTGCCACTGGTGCCCCCTAAAACAAATAGATGCATGATGCCCCAGCTGACAAGAATGCTGCTCTTGCACAAACAAATAGCCATCCCAGTCTCAGTGAAAACAAGAATTTAAGCACATGGATTATAACATGGATCTGACAATTTGTCAGGGTTTAAAACCCTGGCAAGATACAAGAGAAAACAGACAAATGGGACAGTCTTTCCATGGCTAGCTCACCAGACATCTATCTTCCCATCTTACTCCATCTCACCTATTGTCTTTCTCTCCCCTGCACCTAATTTTGTGAACACTTACACTCTGTGCACACCTATTAAGAATTCCACAGCTCGCCTCCCTGCTTCATTAGAGCAATTACCACAGGAAGTCATTTGTTACCTGGGGCCTAGATGACACTGGCACAGACATGGACACACACTTTCGCTCTCTCACACACACACACACACATTTGTACAGACATTTTTTCAGGAACTCGTTTGCAGCTCATAATTATTTAATGACAAAAAAAAAAAAGTGAAAAAAAAAAGCGTTGGAATCCGAGACATGGCAATTAATGAATACCCGAATTTATATGTAAGCACATAATTTTTGGGCTTAAGATGTGCACATTTCCTCAATTAATGTGTCATTTTTGCAAAAACTACCATTTCGCATTTAAATGTGCTCATTGTAAAGTCACTCAAATCATTATGAGATTGAAATGAACATCATTTGCCTTAATAATGTGGTAGGCATCACATTTTCTTGAAATGATGCTAATGTTCAAACTGGTAGATCAGCACGTACACCCTCTGAATTATTTAATAATCTGTCAAACCAACCATCCAAAATTTAGGAACGCCAGCATCCAACTCTCTTCTGTAGACAGTGCTATTGCATAATTTCCTTCAGTCACACTTGCTCATGAAATTGGCTGTCATCCTAAACATTTACCACAAGCCGCATGCAATTACAGACAGCAGGACACAGTCGTATCGGACTCAAGCCCATTTTGTCACGGGGAATCTGGCTGCTATAATGCCCTATCATGGTGCAGACACACACACACACACACACACACACACACACACACACACACACACACACACACACACACACACACACACACACACACACACACACACACACACACACACACACACACACACACACACCTGTTATTTCAGTGGGGTGTTTATGTGTGTTTCTGGCATGCTTTGTGGCCCCTCACTTGGCCGACGATTAGCAGGGCTGCAGGAGAAGTGTGACTGCCTGTGATAAAAAATGAAGAAAAAAAATTGCCCACAGCGGTTCTACAGGTGTTCACATAAACAAACAAACACACACACACAAGTCGAGTCAAGTCACCTTCATTTATATAGCGCTTTTAACAATATAGATGGTTTCAAAGCAGCTTTACAGTGATAATAGGAAATTAAAGTAACAGAGATTGTTTTGGCTTTACAGCAGCTCTAGAATAAAGTTATTGTCCAGCTAAAGTTAGTTTTAACACACACACGCACAAAAATGCCTACATACACATCTATGCATCCTACACTTTATCGGGAGAAACAGCCATAACACAAGTGTGACAAAATGTAATTGGATACAAGAGATTGGATGACAATAAAAGAGCAAATCCACATATTTTAAAACCCAAAAAACACAATATACTGTATGTGCCAAAAAGACATCCTTCATTCTTTGGCACATACTTAAAAAATACTGCCCAACAATTAAAAAAACAGCTATGAATGGCCAGCCAGTAGATAACATTTAGCCACATTATATATATATATATATATATATATATATATATATATATATATATATATATATATATATATATATATATAAATCTTTTTAAATATTTTTTTCCCTTTCATTTGTGTCAGAAGGAAATATATTTATATTATTTATTAAACGTTAAGATTTCTTTGCAAAAAAATTACAATTAAATTTAATTTGCATTTACTACAAATTATATAGCTATAATGTAACTTAATTTATATTATTATCATTATTAATACAAAACACACAACACATTCATATATATATATATATATATACTGTATATAAAAACTCATCTATTTTAGCCAGTTAGATAATGTTACCTTGGTAACATTTAAATTAGCAGGAGTCTGCAATCTTCAACGTTCAATATTTCACAGTAAAACAAATAAAAAGTGTGTATATGTATGTATAAAAACATAGCCTAGCCTACTGGGTTTGAAGTATGTTAATGCAAATTTTGAATATGTGCTGAAGACACCTTGATGTAAATGCTTGATAAACTCGTTCTAGAGTAAAAATGTGCATTAAGGTGATAGAAATGGTGTTTTGTGTTTGTTCAGCCCTGTTAAATTTGTAACATTATGATATGGTATCTCATATGGTATCTAGTAATATTTTTGCTTTTCCTCCCAGTTTTAAGTAATTTAGTAATTTAACCTGAAAGCAAAACTTTTTTTTTGTAACAGTCAAATTTCTCTGACTAATGTCATTTTTACTGAATCTAAGTTAGAAACAGACTCCCTGTGAGTAACTCACATTGGGCATCTGTATTGACCATATTGATAGCAAAACGCCTCCTTTGGAGTGAAGATCGGGCAGGCACAAGTTGGCACGAGTAGCAACATAACTGAGTGGGTGTTGCAGAGGGACTGTGGTTGAGCCTCGTGGGCAAATCAGAGCAAGTACACGTGTATTTTTTACCATGGAGTGGGAGTAAGGGAGATATCGATTCTACCACAGTCACAACTACAAACTATGAGCTAATGTGCTCTTTTTGTTGTTCATAGCCAAGCTAGTATGTGGCGTTCTCATGTAGAAGCATGTAATGCACTAAAGAGGTTTGTGTGAGTGAATGTGATGTGTGTCTCACACTGAAACATTATGTTATGTAGCATGTATGTAAACAATGTAATGCAAAGAGGCCATTTGATAGGGTTTTAGCTGACAAACGAATGCATGTGTGATGTGTTCAGGGGAAGGTGAGCACAGTAAAAGCAAAGCACAGCAGGTGTGGGTGCTGCATCCGTAGGTGGAACTGGAGATGGATGAGAGGGGAGAAAGAAAAAAGATTTAGCTAAATTTCACAGCTCACTATACTGCACCTCTCCTTTCTCTCTTTCTAACTATCCTGCGCCTCACCATCCTATTTCTGGGTTTAGTTTTCACTCACTCTGTCTATGGATCCACTAACGTCTTCACCTTTCTACCTCCAGATTTTCTTTTTGAGCTTATCCCTGCTGAAAAGTCCAGCATAAAACAGAATGAATTCCATGTTGGTCCAGACTGGTTTATGCTAGTTAGAGCTGGTTTAGTGCTGGTCTACCTGGTGGACAAGCATAGTCAAGCTGTATTTTTCAGCAGGGTTTTAACTGTTAGCCTCTATCTTCCTGTCCATTTTTGGCATGGAACTACAAACCCACCTCTCCCCCAGTATTAAAAGTTCAGCAAAACCTCCTAAAGAAGACATTTTACATAAGCCACTAATGATGCACTCAGTAATTTGTTCCTCATTAAAAAGTTTTCCTCCTAAATCCAAGAATAGTGCTTTTGAAAAATCACGTACGCTCCCAAGATGAATGAATCTATCTATCCATCTATCTATAAAAGGCTATTTTTTTCTCCCCAAAAATTCAAAGTTGTCACGCTAAAATTTGAAGTTTGTTTTTGGTTTTCTATGTAGTTAAAAATGAGTCATTATGAGAATTGATTTCTTTAAATTTCAATTCATTTTATAATTACAATTCAAATTTGCAAGTTTTATCTATCCACCCATCCATCACAGACAGACAGACAGACAGACAGAAAGACAGATAGACAGACAGACAGACAGACAGATAGATAGATAGATAGATAGATAGATAGATAGATAGATAGATAGATAGATAGATAGATAGATAGATAGATAGATAGATAGATAGATAGATAGATAGATAGATAGATACGATTTAAATGTAAAAGTTATCCTTCCATCCGTCCATCTAGACAGTACAACACTGACCAGGGGTGCGTTTCCCAAAGCCAACTATGGTCGCAAGTTCCGTCGTTACCAATTGAGTTCAATGGAAATTGAACTCATAGTTGGCCAACGATGCTTTTGGGAAACGCACCCCAGTATGTAAGAAATGACAGCCCGTTCTCATCCTTTGGCGTCATACATGTGACGCTTGTACATTTCGTTGAAATCTTACGCACATGGCATCCTTTAGCATCAATATGAGACGCAGAACCCAAGGCGGCATACAGGTGACGCGCGTCTGAATCCAACGCACATGGCATTCTTTAGCGTCAATATGAGACGCAGATCCCAAGGCGGCATACAGGTGACGCGCGTCTGAATCCAACGCACATGGCATCGTTTAGCGTGAATATGAGACGCAGATCCCAAGGCGTCATAACCGTAACCCGACCCCAGACCTAAACCTACCCATAACAGTGCGTGTTATATTGACGCTAAAGGATGCCATGTGCGTAAGATTTCAACGAAATGTCATATGGCGTCACCTATATGACGCCAAAGGATGAGAATGCGTTGCAAATGAAGATGGTGGACAGAGGAAAGTTAAGTGAAGAATGCATGCAGCTTATGGGTACATTATTCAAAATGAATGTAATATATTCAGTACTGACACAAATAAAATGAGCTCTCCACACCTGGCAGTGACTCTGTGATGATGCAAAATCAATAATAGAAGTCAGCACCCTGAGCGCTGTTCACTAGGTGTTCTAGTTCATTGTTCCATCACATAGCAACTTCAGCAAAGAGGAGGGGCGCGCGGAGGAATGAATTATCGGAAAACATTGGCTTGCACTTGCAGAATGCACTTCCTTCATATATGTGTGTGTCAGTTTTTCCGCTCTATGTGTTGATGTATTACTGCATTACCAAAATGAAAGCCCCGAAGTGTCCTTGGCAAGGACATTTAACACTTCCAGTGAATGTCTAAAAAACATTCACTCTGTAAATCAGGTTTCAGGGAGTATAGAGACATGAAAAGGAGGATGAAGTGATGTAAGAAATAAACAATTGGCTCTGATTAAACTGGGTGTTACAAAAAGGATGTTGTGGTCTCACACCCACACCAGTGAACCCAGCAGAGATGAACACATTGCAATGAATGCCTCCCGAGACAATCAGAGGCAGGCAGGCGGGCTCTGACGTCACACGCACGCATGTGGAGAGAAGAGGTGATCAGCATCTGCTCTGGCATTAGTTTTTCTCAGAGAAAAGGGAGGAATGTGAAGGAGGGGGCCTGGGAATGGCTGATCGCGCAACACTCCAAGAAACATGAAGATCAGAAACGAGGAGTAGAGAAGATGAAGAAACTCATGCAGTGATTGGAGAAGTGTGAGTGGCAGCATCATGATGTTGGATTCCCACGCACAGAAAACGCACACAAAAAAATAAATAAATGCGTGAAAGCCATTTCACAATACACGCACGTGTGCATGCAAACAAACAAACACCCACACATTCATAAACATGTAGATAAATATACATATATATATATATATATATAGTAGCCTGCATATGCCAACACCAGAGACTATTTTATCTGAGGAAAATGGCAGAATAGCACATTGGCGATTCAAGCTGTTCTATTCTGAAATGTATGTTATGCAATTTTTCACTTAATATAAACTGACTGAGACCCATACATATTCAGACTGTCTTGTACCTATCAATATGGATTGGAATATGCATGGAAATGATATGCAGATGACATTATGCATAGTAAAACTAGGCGTTGTGAGCTCCATATATGGTTATTTAGGGGGAAGGACGGTGAGGAGATGAATGTACGCACAACCTTCCGCTGACTGGGTTTTATGACGGGAATTTTCCGCAGGTTCTGGTTTTATGAATCAGAAAACTTTTCTGCGTACGCACACTTTTACATAAAAAACTATAGAAAGGTTTATACATGAGGCCACTGGTGTTTGGGAATGCAATCATGTGAGACACTTCTGGGAGGGAATTAAACCAATCATTTAGATGACAGACTTTGTCTCAGGCATTTCAGAATGATCAAACCAACATTTGAAATGCTGTGCAATGAAATTGGTCAGCTGGTTAGTCCAGTTATCCAATGACATCCACTGTTGAGGCAAAGTCACGTGAGTTTTTTGTTGAGCATAGAGGGATTTATTCTATTCTAAAAAAAAAAAAAAAAACTTTATTCATTCTAAATGTGTTTCAATTGTGCATGTATTATAATCGAATGAAAAATGTTTCCACCTCAATTGAGCGCATACGTTTT